TAAACAGAAGAAAACTTCAGAGGAACTAAGCCCAAACTGGTTGAGCATGAATTAAATAGTCCAACAGTGTCTTTATAATGAACGCAATGATGATCTGGCCAGGCAACGTAATTGAAAAGAACTACAAAATTTTGTGATTTAGTTAGTACTTAAAAGTTTATACCTACTGGAGAGTACCAGTACATATTATATATTTTGTAATTACGAGGCCCTGGACTGGCTCCTCATTATTACCAAGATTATTACTTAGTACCGAGTTTCCACAAAAGATGTCGTTGTTAGTTTTAAAACAATTCTCAAAGAACAGGTGAAAAAACTATTTTGTTCGTGTTTGGGTGTCCAGCAGTAGGCGTTGTTACCTACTCTTATAAAAGTGTTTCTTCGATCACCAATTACAATTAGCGCTTTTTTAAACCATCCTCAAATCGGGTTATCAAACTGCGTGCCCATTTAACCCCATTACTGCCTCTAAGAGATTAATGGGTTACAGTTCAATACTGCATTACCCCGTGGCAGGACTAATTGATCAATCGACTGATTAGCCCCGAATTAATGGCGCCTCAACTTGCCCCGTCAGTCGGGTTCGAATTTACATTTGTAATTTGAAATAGTTTCCAATTTCCATTATCATTTGGGGTGTGAACGGAGAGTTTGGAACTTTGGGGGTCTAGCTTTTTGGAAATGAGTGAGATTACAATTGGACAAACGTTGTCGTTTTCTCTAATCATTTATTTTTACTTAGATTTACTTGTCTTGCTTCTTGTATTATTAATAATTACCTAAATATTAGCGGGACAGACCCGGTTCAATACTTAAAATATTTTACTCTTTGGTCTGCTTAGATAACTAAATCTCTCTCTCTTCGTGTGCGACACCGAGTCGTCTAACGACCCGATGAACCCTGGTGTCAGAGTTACTAACTATACTGCTGCTTTGGTAACTAGTGCGCCACGATTTGTGTTTCTATGCGGCAACTATGTAGCCGTAGACATGTCGTAGAGATGCCGTAGCTATATGCTACGCAGGAAAACGTAGTATTTTTTAAATTTTCAAAGAAAACTCCTTTTTACAGTACCTAATGGAGATAAGTAAGAGTAGGTTTAGTAACACATTCAATTCTTGCTTTGATTTTGTGCTTAAGGCAAAGAAATTGATTTTATTAGGTATGCTTTTTGCTTGAAAGATAACTGCCACGTTATCTACAACATCTACAATTTATTTGGATTGACCCAATTCAATAGTTTCTCAATCGGCTTTAGCTAGTACGTGTTTGTAAATTTATTAAAATGGCCACCATAACTCATGGGAATGCGCAGAATTCAGTACATATCCCATCAGAGGCTGAAAATTGTTTGCGAACGGCAAATCTGGCACGCAGATGTTATTTATCGGCCAGATGAAAATATTGTTAATAGTGAAGGAAGATATTCAGAATTATCGATATCGGTATTAAATGAAAAAAGATTTGATACTACTTTAATTACTAAAATATTCACTTTATACTATATAATTACTATATACTCAAAGGGAATAATCCGAACACAAGAATACTTTGATATTTTTTCGCCGTTGCGACGTAGTTTCGCGATTCTTAATTCTCTACGTTTTTGTACAGTGGGTAAAAAATAACTAGCCCCAATCGGAGTAAAAACTTGCAGAAGAAAGGGATGAAAGTAAGTTATTAATAATACGTTTAGGTGAATACGCTTGTTTAAAAATTAATAAGATGTTTTATATTTTTTCACCCCTGTCCTAAAAAGCGACAATCATCTTGGGAATGATAATGATGAGAACATCTTGAACTGCACTCACCAACCTGCCTACCAAGTGCGGTGAGTATGGCAATACCCCCCTGATAAGGAGAAGCCCATGCCCAGCAGTGGACTGTTTTTGCTGTTATGGTATGGTATATTTTTTATACGAGTATGAGAATATTTTCGCCAGGCACAACAAATAAATCATTTGGTTTTTTTCCATTCAATGTTTTCAATGCGACAGTTCAAGGCAAGCCACCTGTCCCAGTTGCTGTTTATGATTACTTACTGAGAATGCGGTCGATATACAAACATGATAGAGGCCTGTTGCTAGAAGGCGGTTAAAACTCTGACTCCCACTCGATAAAAGAAAAACAAAAGAACGGCATTTCAGTTCTCGATCTCTCTCTGTCTCTCTCTCTTCATGTGGGACACCGAGTCGTTCGACGACCTGATGAACCCTGGTGTCAGAGTTTTTCAAACGCCTACTGCAAATAGCAGGCCTCTGACATGGTTGTGTAACCACTGCCATCATAGACAGCAACCGGGACCGACGGTTTAACGTGCCCATCCGAAGCACGGAACCATCTTACTTCTCGGACAATCAGGTGGCCCGCAATGTCCTATCCAGACTGGGAACAAATTCACAAATTCCTTCGAACCTTCTGCGTGGCAGGCAGTCATACTAACCACTGCGCCACATCGGTTGTCGATATAAACCAGAATGTAAACCGTCTACATCCCTATTTGACGTATTTCCCGATCGAGCTGGCAACACTCGGTGATTTGTAGCTGCGGCTGCGGACGGATCTTTTGGGAATTTTAAAACTATTAGTTTTCCGCACCAGAGGTTGCCGGAGTGATGGATTTGAGCGAAAAGTATGTGTTGGTTGGCATACCTTCAAGTAACTCTACCACATCGAAAATTAAAATAAACTACATACATACATTCGTGACAGGTTGTTCAAATGAATTCAGTTTGGTTATTAGGTACGTCTTGGTGTTGACCGATATTATGTATATTATTTTAATATCCACTAATTACAAGAATTTTGTTTTCAAAATGTACGTTGCTGAAACATTATCACATTAAGTATAGCTTAACGATATTTTGATCTCTTGGCCTGCTATATAGTGCGAGTGTCGGTGTATATTAGCCAATAACGCTTGAACGATAAGTGTTTTAAAAATTTGGTACTCTACCGAGGTTGAACAAGATTCTAGTCTTTCTTCTTTGCAACCTCTGTTTTAATATGTTACATTATTTTTCATTGCCACAGAGAAATTTTCTTAAAGGATAATCTATCTGAACGAAGTGAGACAACCTAGTGCTGCAATAAAGGCGTTTACAGCCGAGACCTAGATCCAGGTTTGCAATAAAGCCACCATGCAGCTTACTTGAGAGCTTTTCCATCAGGCATCAATCACCAAGCAGCTTACCTGAAAGTTTATCAGTCATGCATCAATCATCATGCAGCTTACCTGTAAGTTTTTCAATTATGTATCAATCACCAAGAAGCTTATCTGTAAGTTTTTCAATCATGTATCAATCAATAAGCATATTCTAACTTAATATCAATTGAATAAGGTATCAATCATCATGAAGCTGGTTGATCAATGACCATAAGGGCAATTTCATATCTGGCGATTGAAGGACATAACTTGTTACCAGTTTGGTTAGAGCATTACAACTTCTGGCCAAACCATAAATTTATACCTTGATTCGGTGGGCTCGTGAAAGCATTTATTTTGATCTCACTCAGAGGTCAAAAAGTAGTACTAGGTGGTTCCATTCAAAACAAGACAATGACATTATTGATTTCATCAGTTAGTAAGTCAATCATATCCCACCAAAAACATTCACTTGTAAAAAGAACCAAGTCTCGCCTCTCATTTCTTCTACTGTAAAAAGGTGTGAGATCATGTGATGCCAAGTCGGTTATTGATTTATTCAAGGACTTCTTCAGGGAACTTTCATCTCAAGCTATTGCGTAATTAGGTAACAGACATCATCTTATAGTAACCATATCGATATTTAAAATCTTTTATATATACAATAACTAGAATGACCCGGCCATCGCACCAGACCATCGTATCTCACAAGCAAATAGTGTGCGATTGCCAAGTCATTCTAGTTATTGTAAATATAAAAGATTTTAAATATCGATATGGTTACTATAAGATGATGTCTGTTACCTAATTACGCAATAGCTTAAGATGAAAGTTCCCTGAAGTAGTCCTTGAATAAATCAATAACCGACTTGGCATCACATGATCTCACACCTTTTTACAGTAGAAGAAATGAGAGGCGAGACTTGGTTCTTTTTACAAGTGAATGTTTTTGGTGGGATCTCATTTCTTTTTGTAGGTAGTCTTCCTCTTTCTCTTTTCTGGAACTACTTCTTGAGCCTCAGTCACAGATACAGCTACTTCCTCAAAGCTCATCCGCAAAGTTAACTTTGTAATCCTATACATTTGTATGGAAATACAAAGTTAATTATGCGGTTGGAACCGAATTTGCAGAATGTTATAGTTTTTTCTTTATTCGTACACTAAATACAAGTTGCATTCTAAGTTTGAAGCTCCTCAGTCTGCTAGAAGTACCTTAGAATTTTGATGATCGGTCAGTCAGTCAGGCAGAAAATTAAGAAACTTTGACTAACTATAACTTCTAAACTACTAGTATAAATTAGATGAAATTTGAAATGTATCGTGTCTATGCAGTGCTTGATAAGATATTTTGAAATGAGGGTTCTAAACTTATCGACAAGGGAGTTATGGGGGGGTCGAAAATGGCCTGAAGTGGTTCGAGAAAAGGATGGTACGGCCGTGCCGCTTTCAGCTCGACTTGGTGGGGGCACTGCCGTGCCCCCAGATTAAAATATTTTTAAACAGTTTTCTTTCCATATAAGCCATACTCTTTTTTAGGGTATTGTTTTGCCATAACGTTTTCGGTATACAAACCCTAGGCTCCTTGCAATAAAGTCACCGAGTATACTTTGAATCTGGAAGTTTTTCAATCTCCAGCCAGCATCAATCACTCTGGAGAGCGATTTTAATAAAGTCGGAGAAAGAATTATAGCGTCGCCGACGCCATTACCTGCCGGCTTTATTAGCTTTACACTTTGTTGAGTTTGAACTGGTTTCAACTAGTTTGAAGTTCAGTTGGTCTTCGCTCCTGGAATGAAACTCGTTACATAGCTTTTTAATGTTGACAATCTGGTAGGAAACTTGAAAAAAATGTCAAGCATCGTCCGAGGATCGAATCCGGAACGCGTGAGGTACCGCCTCACCGCTCTCCCACTGAGCTATCGATGGTTATTCTGTTTCAATATCTTAGGTCTTCCATCTCGTGAAGACTCAAAAATCACATTTTACAACCAATAGTGTCTGAAATAGAAATTATCAGATTCAAAAGGGAAGTAGCTAACTGTAGGAATTACCAGTTATCAATTTCCCGTCTGGCAACCTCAAAAAAAATAAAATATAAGCAAAATGAAATAAAAAATTTGTGACCCGTTTTGAATACCACGAAAAGCAACTTCCTTTCGCTGTAGATCTAAACAGACGGAGAGCTCAAACTTTCAAACCAGCGCACCAGATTTTTACTCAAACACGTAGGAGTCTGTTTAAGTAATAATGGTTCTCCAAACTCACAGAGATTGCCGGAACCTGCGAAGTTAACTTTCAAAGTCGAACCCGGAAATCAAACTGCCTACCCCTGGCGTTGTTGTTGGTACTTACCGCCCGAGCTTTAGCAAAGTTAGTGTATTACAAAGTAAATTTTATTGGCTATTACGTAGTTCCAGGCACTTTGGAATTAGATGGTGGGGAAGAGTTTCAGAATGTGGAGTATGTGCATATGTCGCAGGTAATCCGATAAATCTGAAAATTAGCGAGGCGATTTACAGAATCCATTTGCGATCTTGCCACGTCAGAGGCTTAGGGACCTGTCAACCTCGTCAGGATCCTGCCAACTCGATATTTTCCAGGAAAATGAGAAATAGAACAATGCATTTTACCATTATCCGAATTTTCAGATATCGTGGGGAGAGAGAGAGAGAGAGAGAGATGAAGAGAGACCCTAGAATTACCAGTTGTATAAGTTGAGTTTTTTTTTATTTTATTTTTTTTATCTATGATGGGCTTACTCTTGACCCCAATCTTACCCTAGAGCAGAGATGGGATCTACGGTGGAGCGAGCTTGCCCAGAAGATGCCTTTTCACTCTAGACTTAAAGAGATTCAGGTTATATGCACTCGGAAATACAGACGCAGGCAGGGAATTCCATTCTTTAGCCGTGCGCATAATGAAAGATGATTTGAAGCGCTTAGTGCGTAATGTGGGTATATCAACTAAGAACGGATGGTAGCCGGCCGTGCGTCTGGATGTCCGATGGAAGAAAGGAGACGGTGGTATGAGCTCATGCAGCTCACGCGCACACTCTCCGAAGTACAATCTGTAGAAGACCGATAGGCAAGCAACCTTGCGGCGGTGAGCCAGGCTGTAAAGCTTGGTCGCCACCAGTTTTTTATCGCCTATTAATCTCTTGGCTCTGCGTTCCACCGAATCCAGAGCAGCAAGTTGGTATTTAGCCGAGCCATCCCAAAGGTGACAGCAGTACTCCATGCAAGATCGGACTTGAGCTTTATAAAGAGTTAGAAGCTGTTCAGGCGTGAAGTACCGCTTGACTTTATTCAGGACGCCCAACTTTCTAGCTGCAATTTGAGCCTTGGACTCGATGGTGGTGCCGAAGTTGAGGTCAGAGGACAGCTCCATGCCAAGGAGTTGAAGAGTGTTGGTCACTGGAACAGATGTACCCCGAAAAGTAGGAGAAAAGGTGAAAGGACTCCTTTTTGCGGAGAAAAGACACGCCTGCGTTTTTGAAGCATTGAAGCTGACGAGATTGTCATCGCCCCACTGGGAGACGTTACTTAACGTCAGGCTCGTACGCTCAATCATAGCCTTTCTCAATCTTTGGATTTCATCACCACTGGCTCCTGCGCCGGACAGATATTTCTCGGTGACAGTACTGTCATCTGCGTACCCAACAATTCCTGAAGATAGAAGGTCATTGATGTGCAGCAGGAAAAGCGTCGCGGAGAGTACAGACCCCTGAGGAACTCCGGCGTCATTAGCCTTGAGGTCAGAGGAGCAGCCGTCTATGACCACTCGGATCGACCGTTCACTCAGGAAGTCAGCCACCCAGCTACAGAAGGTACGGCAGGGTATGCCGTACGCTGGAAGCTTGCTCAACAGACTCGCATGCCACACCCTATCGAAGGCCTTTGAAATGTCCAGCGACACTGCTATTGCTTCGCCGTGGTTTTCAATGGCCTCGCCCCAGCAATGCGTTACGTACACTAGAAGATCTCCCGTGGAACGCCCTCGGCGGAAGCCATATTGACAATCACTGAGAAGATCATTGTCTTCGAGGTACGAAAGCAGTTTGCAGTTCCATAGCCAACTCTTTCCATAGCCTTACAGAGTACGGAAGTGATGGCGATCGGTCGATAGTTGCTAGGGTCGGCACGGCTACCCTTCTTGGGCACAGGTTGCACATTGGCAAGCTTCCAAGATTTTGGTACAATTTTTGACACGAGAGAGAGGCGGTACAAGCGTGTCAGTACAGGAGACAACTCAGGCGCACAATACCTCAACAATCTTGCTGGTATGCCATCAGGACCACTGGCCTTGTTCACGTCCAGACTGCGAAGGGCTCTACGGACCTTTTTATTGTGCACTGTGATCTCAGACATCAAAGAATCACAGTGAGGTAAGGTGGGTGGATACTTCGAGCCAGCGTCTATACGAGTTGCTCGCAAACAGATCGGCAAATAAATTTGCTTTCTCTGCCGCGGTGTGGGCAAGCGACCCATCAGGTTTCTGCATTGGAGGTAGTGAGGGACGGCAGAAGTTGGATTCGACTGATTTCGAAAGGGACCAGAACTGCTTACTACCCGGTGGGTATGATGCAAGCTTTGCCCCAATTCGGCTAATATGGTCGAACCTAGCTTTTCGTAGCACCAGTTTGCAATACCTGGTGGTGGCATTATAATGCTCTCTTCTTTGCTCGCACTCTTCTCGCTCGCACTTTTCGATCACGAGCTTTTACCCAAGCTTGGTAAGCGGACTGTTTACGAGCCTCAGCTCGAGCACAGTCCGCATTGAACCAAGGTTGGGCTTTATAACCGAGCGGGATATCGGAGAAAGGAATGAAATATTCCATTCCCTGCCGGATTACAGCTGTGATCGCATTAGCGACGTATGAGGGGTCTTCCGAAGAGAAACACATTTGCCGCCACGGGTATGAAGCAAAGAAAGCACGCATCTCGTCCCAGTCTGCTGACTCGTATCGCCATACTCTCCTCGTGCCCCTAGGGGTGTAATCCGGAGGAGAGCAGATGGACACGGATTTCACCACACAGTGGTCGGATGATCCCAGCGGAGCCGAGACCGAAACCGAATGTCTGTGCGGATCAGTTGTCAGCAGAAGGTCCAGGCAATTGGGTGTGTGGTCTGTGATATCTGGTATTCGCGACGCTTGTTCCACCAGCTGGGTGAGATCTAGCGCCAATGCTAGTTTACGCGCCTCTCGCCCAGCATGGTCAGTTTTCTGGTATGGGAACAGCCACTCTTTATGGTGAGCATTGAAGTCCCCCAGAAAAACAAGCTCTGCTGTTGGATATCGCTGAATTGCTGTATCTGCCGTCTCAGAGAGGTACTCCATGAGTCTAGTCGTCTCCTGATCTCCGCTGTGCGAACGATAAACACTGGCGTAGAGAGTTTTATCTACTCTAGTGTTAACCAAAAGCCACAGCACGGGAAACCCTGAATTCTCAAAGCCACGGAGACGCTTACAGCAAACGTCATCGCGAACATACACACAGACCCCTGCACGCTTCTTAAACTTGTGCTCAAGAGTGTAACCAGGGTAGTTGAGGTATGCCACGTCCAACGGTGTTGCTATCTGCGTCTCCGTTAAGAAGAATAAGTGCGGCTTCTCGGTCTCCAGGTGGTGATGGACCGGGTCTAGGTTTGTGTGTAGACCTCGGATGTTCGTGAGGTGCACTTTGAGTGGGAGGAAGTGTTGCCGTTGGTCAAACTTTTTCTTCTTTTTTAGCTTTTTCATGTTTTTAAAAGAGTTTTTGTGGAGGAAAGAAAAAATAGTCGAGGCGCTGCTTAGAACCCCTACTCGTACCTTTCGGTTCATCTGATCAGAGAGGGAACTCGCTTTGAGACTGCGGGGACGCCCGAGCCCCCCCGATAACACTCCACCGGGTCCTCCCATCCAGCCGCCAACTGGCACGGTGGAGTATACCGGGATTTTTCACAGTTGGCGGGGCAGCCTTTGCGCGTGGCTAGCGCGCAAGTCGGGCCCCCTACTGACTGCGGTCGGCCAACGGCTAAGACCGTGCCTCGGATCCCGCTACCCTCCAAAACGAGTTACCGGATACAGCATCACCTAAAGACAAAGACCGGTTCCGGCAGCGCAACTGACTACATTGCTACCCCCCAATGGCACTGGCAGTCCCGCACACCGACGGAACACAGCAAGGCTGTTTGGCGCCGGACTCCGGCGGGATGGTGGTCGCGAGCCAGGCGGCCCCTTTCAGGGCCTACTACCGCTTTTGAGATCTTCAGCCGCCAACACATATTGTGAGGGAGGACGTTGCCCGGGGTGGACCGCTAGGAGGTAGACCCCACCCACCCCAAAGTTTGCAAATACGAATCAATTTTAACCTAATTAGAAATAATTATAATTAATAGGCAGTGTTTATACAAGTGATAAAGCAGTAGTATAGTGCCAGTAGAGTATACAAAAAGGGATATTTGATGATTCAAAAATACGCCTCTTTTACGAATTCCTTCAAGTGCAGAACCAAAAGATAAATCTTTCCTCTAAAACTGAAACTATCTAACATTACGTCAGCATTTCGTGTTCAACGTTCCACAGATTTCTGAAAATAAAAGTAATGGGAGCAACGAACGCATTAAAGAGTAGGAAAAAGCTCATTAGTGCTCCCTCTAGAGATTTAAAACTCTGTGCGCTTGTACGGTACTTACCTAGCTAGAACCCATAGATAAACTGGCAAGTTAATTTGTTACTTTTATTTATGCTAGTAAAATAAAAACAGTAAAATTTGTGAAGCGTTTAATACCAGCTTTAAACTATTAGCAACTTCTCCAGTAACGTTTGTCGAACGGAACATGAGGAAATATAATTGAAGCTCCCAACCAATCCTTTCATAAAAAATGATTCAGATCGTTTTACCTAGTCATATCAGAGGCCTGGCTTTTAGTAGGCGGTTGAAAAA